GTTATGTAACTAATGCCCATCTGCAATGATAAGGAGGAGACAGTCTTAAATAAAGGAGGCTTGAAAACAAAAGCAGAATCAGAGGACTAGGACAAAGAGCTAATTTAAATACTAAAAATCATGCCCCTAGGTGGGGAGAAAGTATGCTAATGAAACATACATATATATAAATAAGATACATAGCTAAAACACAGATATAGAGACATGCTCAGTAAAGAACTCCTTGCGTCACTCCCTTATAAACAATTAGCAAACAAGAATGCTTATGAAGGTCCAATACTCCTGTATAAAAGATGCTTAAAATTAAAAATCTGTGTGCTTGTTACATAAAATTATTCCGCTTACACCTTTTATTGCTAGCAATAAATCTTCTTTATACTTTCACCCCTGATATCTTTATTGGCCTTTGCATACCGGGCACGATCCCAGACTTGAGCTGGGGCCCAACACCAGCACCACTGCCATCATCCCACCTGAATGCAGCATAGCCCAGCTCCCTGCTGTGAAGAGCACAACTGCCTTCCCCTTCTTTCACCCCTTCCCCCCCACTCACAGATTGGGAGGATTAGCCTTGGCCCAAGCTGTCTGCTCCAGTGCAGTGGAGCAGGGAGTTGTGTACTAGCACCCCCCAGTTTCTGGCCTGGGCCAGTGCAGGCATGTGGCTGCAGTTCCAGAATCAAAAGGAAAGTGTGTTCACTTGTTTATCTGTTCAATCTACGTGGCTTCGACTAACCTGTGAAGACCGAATTGATTCAGCCTCGGGCTTTTTGACTGTCTGTACTTAGCCTGGAAAGCTGGGAAAATCAAGGAGAGATGGTTTAGGCAGTTCAGAGATATGATGGTGATGAAAATTAATTAAAGAAACTCTGAGCTGGAAGAATTTATGAATTATGAGAGCATGAAGACTGTGCCATAATTTTCTAATGGAGGTTGGTGAAACCCCATTGCTTGAATTATTTTCTGTCAAGCACTAGTGTCCAGCCATCCATATACACAAATCACATGGGCTTAATATTGTTACCATTGGTACTTCTATTTTTACTTTTCTTTTCCTAGTAAATATAAGTATTTTGAAATTCTTTTTTACTTCAGATTAGGGGTCACTGGTGTGAAATGTCTGAGAAGTACTGGCCTAGATTAATGCAAATTCTCCTAAGGTTTGTGAACCTTTGAAGAAAAACCTGGGCTGCATTTTCATAGAACCTGGAATAGCTGCAGGTTTGCCTGAAAGAAAGTCTTCTACTTAGAGTGTATTTTGCTCTGAGTTTTTATTAATTTGAACCTGAATCTCAGGGAATGTGAAGCAGACACAGATCAAAGCCAGAAAAGAGTTTTGGATAAAAACTGCTGAGGTCTGCATTGCTCTAGTTTTCCTTCTCATCTCTAATTTCTGTGATCCACCACCTGATTTCATTTAGTGTGGCCTCTGAGCAGTGCTTTAAGGGCATTTGAATTTAGAAAAGCTGATGGCGGAGAGAAAAGTTCTTATTTCCTCTCTGAATACCACAGCTGTGTTACCCCTATGTTTGGATTTGCTGGCATTGCTCCAGCTCAGGTTTCATGTTCTGCCATGCAATATGGTGTACTGTGATATATATGAGAAAAAAAGTCTGAGGGCTTTTGCTGGCATTTGAAATTCAAGTGATGGAAATTAGCTTTTCTCCCCCATAACAGGCATCTTTCAGTATCACGGGCTGAAGTTATCAATGAAATAGGTAGTGTCCCAGCATGAATCAGCCAGTGCACTTCAAAACAATTTAATTTGAAAAAAGTTGTTCTCTTTCAGTTCAAGGACAGGCTTTTTTCTACATTCTCTTAAAGGAACTGAACAACCAGTCACCCCATTTTTTTCCTATCTCCTTGATAATCCCTGACCCAAATCACAGAGCTCATGCACAACTTTTCTACAGATTAACTAGAAGAAAATGTCAGGTTGGGTAAGATTACAATGAATGTTCTTGGGAGATATGGAGGAAGTAAGAGACACTGCTCAGAACTTTCGAGAATTTCTTAGCAAGGAAATATTAAGATTAAATTTGTTGGAAGAGCTGGCCCCTACGCCGGGGGTGTTGTGAGGTCTTTGACACAGGTTCTTTACTTACCAGAACAAACCTCCCATCTTAGCAGACAGACTGAGGAAAGGTGGGGATGTACAGGTTACAAAGAGATGTTTTTCCCTTCAAATTAAAACATAATTCCAGTTTCACTCATGGTTGACTGCAGTGGCCTCAACTCCATTGTAACTTTGTGTCCAGCACTGAAATGCTGGGTTGAGCAGCAAGGAATGGACACAGCAGTATAGCAAGCAGCAGTGAGCACAGTAGTTAAGACTGAAACTCATTTCCAGAATAAGGATCACGCACACTCTTCCAAAAAAATTAGAGGGTGTATATGGGAAATATCCAGGAGAGATTCACTGGCACTCTCCCCCTTGGATTCTTGTTCCATTCAAAGTTTAAAACCAACTGCCTGGCATTGGCAGCAGCATTTATAGTCAGGCAGTGCTGAGGCAGTCACTTGACTTCATAGCTCACTATAATCTACCTAATCGCTTTAAACTGCTCATTCCGTAGGTGTTAACAATCCTCTCTTCATTTTAATGGTCTTGATGTTCACCAATTGAGCTATCCTTTGTTCTACAATTCTGCTGTTTTTTTGCTTCTCCTGGTAGTGAAGCTCCCATTTCACAGCACTTCAGGTTGTTTTAAATTCATTCCAATGAAGTTATACTTGCTTTCTTCTTCAATCTTAAACTGAATAATACAGCCCTAGGCCTGCAATGTATTAGTAAAACTTCTTGTTTATTTTTAACTGGAGAAACATTTGTGTTTTATGTGTGATGATGCACCTCAGCATATGCACCCCCTTTTCAAAATTCTAGATCCACCCATGGAAATAGCTAAGCCTTTGTCAATGCTACAAGTCTGGCTGACATAGATATATTAGCTTGGAGCAGTGGGAAAAAATCACACAGCTGACAGCCACACTGGCAAGCCCCTGGTGCAGATGCAGCTGTGTTGATAGAAGAGGGCTTTTGTTCAAGGGGGAAGTCCAGAAAACCATGCACTGCATTGCCACAGGGAGTCTGCCAGTCAAGCTGGTAAAGTCTCCATAGTACAAGCCCTTAGACCAGGGATGTCAAAGTCAATGCTTTGTGTCGGATGTGGACTGTGGGGCTGGATCTGGCCTGGGCTATGCAGTGGCAGCTGCAGTGGCTACTCTGGCCTGGGGCATGCCTGTGTAAAACTTTGCTGAGCTAAGCAGTACTTACTCAGAGCCCATGGAGATAGGTGACATGAAGATAGGCAAAACTAAGGTTTCAAAGTCTGTTTGCAGTTATTGCATCTCACTTAGAACAAGGGGGGCAAATCCTAGCTTTTTGTTAGCCAGCCTGTTTATCCTGTGTCCAGTCCTCAACCATGAGACAAGACAGTACTGAGCAATGAGTGAGTATTGGATGGCAGCATGCAACTCCTTTACTTCTGAGCCCCCACATTTATTCAAACAGGGCGTGGCCCCAGGAGCGTGCACGTGCAATTTGCAGCACCCCAAAACCATTTGAAGCACTGCAAACAGCACACAGCACATGTTCATCCCTGTGTCATGCTGCTAATTTGCAGTATGGCAGTTTTCTTTGGCACTGGGAGATCCCAGTGTCCAAAAAAAGGTTGCTAAAAAAAAACGGTGTGGAACACATCACAGCAGCATGTGCAGCCAGAAACCAGAGCCCAGTTGGCCAGAGTCACACTCTGGCTGCTGGTCAGACTCTGAGTGGTTGGCTTGGTGCTGCTGCTGCCCCGGAAGGCCTCCAGGACTCCAGGTAAGACTGCTGGGGTGAGCACCAGCCGTCCCCTAACCCACCCGGGACCCTTTACCATGCGCCAGAGTGTGCGTGCAGGGCCGTGCCCAGGGACAAATAGCAGTGGCACAAATATGTGCCACTGCTATTTGTCCTACAGGAAGCACGCGACCCTTCACATGTGCGCTCATTGGGACGTGCCTACAGAGAGCAATATTTAATCAAACTGGGGTTATGAGCACTGACTTCAAACTTTCATGTCAAATCACATGTGTAGTTACTGTGTTACAAAAATGCCCTGGACTGCTAGAGACTGTATCAACCCAGTACTGTTAGGAGATATTATTTCATAATCTATCCATTACTACTTCTATAGCCAATGGGTCAAAATAATCCTTGGGATGATTCCATTGAAATTAAGGAGTTACTGCACTGATATATTTGGCCAATAGCCTTTAAACTCAGTTTTAAACAACACAGTGTAAATTCATACTTTGCTACTCCTTGTAGCTTCTTATACTAATGAGGACTAAGAAAAGGTAGAAATCCGTATGTCAGCAGTACACTGCACTTTTGTAGCTGGGTTGGCTGCTTGTTCTAACCCATGCAGCTGTTGTGAATTGTGAAAACCCCATTACACTTAACCCAGGTTTCCTTACATTTGTGAACAGTAACATTTGGACATGCAGGCATTTTACTCCCATAGTAGCTATAGCTATTGCACCATGAATTCCCCCTTAGAAATAACCTTTTTGCTTTAAATAGGCCCCCATTACAGAATGGAAAAAAAATCACACAGTGAGGCCTGTGATAAGGAAACACTCTTCATGCTTTGCTATAAGCAAAGTAACGCTTGGTTTGAGCTACTGTTATGCATATATGTTAAAGCATATGTGTATTTACTGATATTTCCAAACTGGCATTCAGATTGCCTAAAATTTTGGGTTTTTTTTTCAGAAGGCACATCAAGGAAGTGGGCAGAGGGAAGTGTCTACAAAGGTTTGCAGCTATCAGAGCATTATCATTTAAAATTCTCTGTAATACGTGCACACAGCTAATCAGTTAACAATGATTGAGATTATTTCAGTCTCAGCAGTTGTAAATCAGTGGGTTTTTAGAGTAAGTATGTGGTACAACACACCTGGTTTGAGTATATTTAAAAAACTCATTCACCTCTCTTGTTAGACAATGTGGGTTTTTTTAATGCATCATTTGGAGTTAACAGCAGATTAAGCACAGATGTAGGAAAAAGTCCATCCTCCAGTCCTACCAAATTGAAATCAGTTAGCCATTTTTTTGGGACCAATGCAGCAGCATAGTCCTATTTGCCACAGTTCACCACTCATGCAGAAGCTCTCATTTGTCTTCTGGCTGTCCCCAGGAGCCCTGCAAGAGGGAAGACTCTAAAGGTGAGTCCACACCATGGGACAACCACAAGTGCCTACCTGCTTCTGCTTACATGTACTTAGTGCAGAAATGTGGCAGTGAAGCCATGCCAGAGGCACCTTCTACAGCCACTTTGAGACCTCCCACTCCAACGTGGTTGAGGGTAGCTGCTGTGGATACCTCCACAGTGACTTCACTGCCCCATTTCTAGATTCTGTCCATGAGGGCAGGAGGGGGGTGAGTAGGGTATAGTGGCAATGTGGTGTAGACATGCCCTGAGGTGGGCAATGGTGTTGGTAACTTTGGTGCCCACTGTCACCTTGGACTCTTGAGAATGTGAAGACACAGGGGCCCCTGGCTGTGGAGGAGGGAGGCTCATTGCTTGGCCTTGGAACCAAAGACCGGCTTTGTGAGATCTCCTGGAGACTCCTTTAAGGTACCCTAATCTTCAGAAAGTACCAAGTACTGGCTCTAGGAAAATTGGGCTCCTTAAAATTGTCTTATGTTAGCACCCAGTATCACTAGCCTCTTTAGACAATTTAGACCAGGATTTTGACTTTTGCTGATGATGCATGAACAAGAGGACACCCAGAGTGACCTATCTTCAGTTTGCAAGTCTTGCAAGGGGGGAACAAAGGAGTTTGCTGCTTGCTAATTCCAGCAGATGTGACCTGGAGATACCACAAACATGGACCTACCTAGAGTCACTTTTCAGAAAAGATATACCTCCAAGACAGAACCAGGAGCCAAGAGATTTGGGTTCTGTCCTTCTTACAGACACAGACTGACTGAGTGACCTTGGGCAAGCTTCTTAACCTCTTTGTGCTCGGCTTTCCCATCTGAATATGGGGATGATGAATGGGGACCTGCTACATTTTGCAGGGTAGGCTTTTCAGATGTAATTAACTGATGTTTCTGTAGCAGTTTGAAAGGCACTATAGAAGTGCAAGATATTATTATTAAAGTGTTATTTCTTTTCTGCCCTGGCACTCTGGGCAGAATGCTGCTCTGAGTAAAACAAGAGTGATTTATGTTGCTGTAGTTCATTCACCTTGAGAAAGGATTACATGTTGGGAGTGTTGACTGGTTGTCTTTTCTGTGCTATTGGTGTAATATATTACAGATTTTTAATCAAGCTGTGGGGCACTGGAGGCCATGTTTTAAACTTATGAGATATAGTATCAAGAGCCTTTCCCGATATTGTTTAATTGAAATTCTATCATGGTTTTTTTTCTAAATTTGTTTAATATATTTTAATCTCTGTCTCTCAAAAGAAGCCAACAGAGCAAACAGACTGACCAAGCTGTCATGTTACTGCTCTAGAACCTGAGGAAATGGTTGTCCAGTGCTACCTCAAGGGCAGAAAAACTGATTGTATGAGAGGTATTGACTTTCTGCCCATCTCCAAAGGAAGATCAGTGGAGTGGCATGAGAGTAACTTTAGTTCTGGAACAACTGGCTCATAGCACATATGATCTGTCATGCCCCAGTGATCTGAGGTCATTTAGGGCCAAATTCAGAGTGGATGGGTGTGGGATGGGAGATACAAAAAGCTCTTTCACACTCCCTCCGACTCTGATGGCACCATCTTGAGTGGCCCACACCTTGCGCGTTGGAACCTGTGTGCTCGGGCTGGTGATTTTAGTGTAGGGTGTGAGTAGAGCTTCGTGACAGACAGGTCCCAGGGGCTGGGGAAGGGTAGAGTCAGTCCTCTTCTGCGTCCAGGCCCATCCCTGGAACCCTGTTGCATTTCCAACAGCTTTTCTGAGTGTTTTCTCCTTCCTTGTCTCTGAAATGACTTTTGGAGGCTTCCTGACCTTGTTTTCCTGGTGTGGGGCTAGAGGGTCTGTGTGGGGTGGCTCTGGGGTATATGTGTCTGCATGGGAATGCTGGGGTGTGCTCTCTGGGTTTCAGGGGAAACTCTGGGAAGGCCAACAACATGGGGCCATGACTGGAACCCCTCTTCTACTCCATTTGGATCTTCCTAATAGAGTTGAAGGGGGGGTCCCAATCATTGGCCCCATATTATTTGGGAGTGGGTCCTATCTTTCACTTCTGAGGCTAGGTGTTGGTGGCTAGTTCTCATGGCATCTGCACTGATGCCTGAGCCCCTAGAGCAAAAACTGCTTTTACTAGTAGGACTTTGCAGCACACAGATCAGAACTGTTTCCAGGATCCAGGCCCCTTACAACCAGCATTGCTCACTGTCTACTTGGGATACACTTCTTTTAGCCTGGGCAGCAGCAGGGTACCATGTAGGTGAGGCAATGACCTCTGAAAATGCAGCCGCACCACCCTTTCTTTAGCTTGAAAGACTGCCTCTCTCCATGGCCCTGTTTAGCTACAAATACAATCCAGCCAAGCCTGCCGAGGCTGGAGGAAAAAGGTAGCAGGGGCTCTGGCCCGCAAGTGGCTGAGGATGCCCAATATGTGGTGTAACTGAACTGGTGCTTTAGTGCTTATATTTTACTCAACATTTATTACTTGCCATAAAGGACAGAGCAGTAAATCCATGGAAAATTTAATTAAATAAAACATTTGCTTTATTTATGACGTGCTTTATTTTTAAAGAACTTTACTTTTTTATTTCCTCCCTCTCCAAGTTGGAGATGATCAGGAGCTTTGTCAAGAAAGGACACTCCGCTAACATCAGGTATGCTCTGAACACCACACAATTTAGAAAGACCTGTCAGATCACAGAGCCTATTCCCTTCAAGGCCATGACTGAGTAATCTTGCCAATTATCATATAAGACTGCTGACCTGGGTGGCCTTCCCATTTATATCCATTAAAAAGACCCTGCTTTGCAGGGTCTTGCCATAATACACAAAAGCACTGGCCTTATAAGAATGACTTCATGCCTTTGTAGCTGGGTGAAATGCCTGTGCAGAACACAAAGCCCACACAAGCACCAGAGAGAGCAGTTTAAATGACTAGATGGACTTCTTGTCCCCTGGGGAACTACCTGATTTTTTATGCTGATTGCTTGGTGCATTGGTGCAGGGGAGGGAGGACAAAAATATCAAGAGGCATGTGAGTGTAGTGGGAAGAGAATGCTTTAGACTGACTGCATCCCATCAGTTGTGGGCACAAAAGAAACCTTGCAGGTCCACACCAAAGTTTTCTCTAGCCTTCCAAGGTTTTGTTCAGAGTAATCAAGTTCTGAGATTTGTGGCATTCAGCTTGTTTGGGAGCTCTGGTTGCAATCAGGAAAGAGGGTATTTCATCCTCTCCTCAGGTGATTTTTCTAACCTTTTTTTTTTTTTGGAAAAGAAAAGAAAACCCAGTCATTTCAGGTGGGTTGTGGTTGGTTGTGATGGTAAATATTGAGCCTGTGTTTGGAAAAGCAGATTGCTGTACACAGCAATGACAACTGGCACAGTGTGCTTGGCTCTGTTGGAGGAAGGCCTGTTTTGTTTGCTTGAGGGTCTAAGAGGATTTATTACCTTGAGCACTGGCTAAGAGAAAAATGCTAGTGGAAATCAACAGAAAATCCTGGAATGAAGACAACCCCCTTCGTTTCTGTGAAATATTGCCTGGGATGTATCTTTCAATGTAATCTCCTTTTGCTAGTATATTGGGGATACTTTTCTCTGCATTCCTTAGCAATTGGTTGGATGCACAACATACAGTCCCTGGGCTGGATGTGACCTAGCAGAGCAATCTCTGCCTTTATTCTTTATGAAATTACAAAGGCTTTGAAAAGCAGAACAGTGTGTCCTGGGTCCTCGTTCATGGCAACGTGTTTACCTGTGCATGTCCCTGCACGTGTGATCCTGTTTCATGCTTGCAAATATGATGAGTGCTTACATCTGATCATGGCTGACCCCAGAGGGGGTGCCCCCCAACTGGGGAAATGTAATTTGCAAGTGGCACTCGCTACATGTGACTTGTGCACTGTTGCTTCAGTTGCAGAGGTGTCAAACATTTGTCCTGTGGAACTGTTCCTTGTGGCTCACCCATAGTCTGCTGGGTACCAGAAGCTGAGAGGGGTGGGCTGTGTGGCTGGCCACAGAATTTAGCATCCCTGGACTCTGAGGGACATGGCCATTGTTGGCAGGGGGAAGTGAGGCTGTGCAGATACAACCCTTCCTCGCTCCGTGCTTACTGGACTTGCCCACCTCTGAACATGTCACAGCTGGCCTCATGGATCTAGCCTGAGAGGAGCCACTGCCATGTGGATCTGGTCCAGGGCCCACATTGAGTTTGACAACTCTACCTTAGCATAAGCACCAGCATGTCATCCTGTTTGTATCCAGAAGTTAGCGGTGGCATTTTGCTCTTGGTTCATGCATCCTTTCTGGGAACATAGTTCCTTTAATTGTATGACTTTAGGAGAAAAGTCTGCGTTTTCATTCTGTATTTGTATGAAGCAGGGGTAGACAACCCCTGGCATGGGTGCCAGAGTGTGGCACGCAAAGGCATTTTGCTTGGCATGTGTGCCTCGGGGCAGATGGTGGAGAAGGGGCCAGGGCTGCTCTGCCACAACAAGGATTGGGCCCCTCATGGTTCCCCTGCCATCTGCCCCTAGCACACCAACATCTTCCAAGTTGAGTTGGTGGGTGTTCTGGGAACACTGCCCAAAAACATTGCTGGCCCCTGGTACAGAAAACTGCACTGAGGCAGGAGGGTGTTCCTAGTTTCTGGGTAGAAGACATAGATAGGATCACAACATAAATAATAATTATTTAATGTCATACATCATAGACTCCACTGCTTCCTCTGATTTTCTCCTCCAACCAAATCCTGTGATAAAGCTGGAGCCCCTCTCTGCAGATTTGTTTTCTCCCTTTTCAGTTCAGCCATAACCCTAATGAATTGTCTCTGCCTTTCCAGTTTCATGGAACCCCAGACCCATGATCCCTACAGCCTTTTCATCACCTCTGACTCGCTCCTCAAACTTGACCACTTCTCTTCTCCCCCTGTCTGCCTGTCCTGCCCATTGCCTTGCTCCTCAGTCATTCAGAGAGACTTTTTTGTGGTATCTTTTATTGGACCCACTGTACAGTTGGGAGAACTGTTG